GCCTGTGAACGATGCTCGGCCGCATCTTGCATGCCCAGGCTGTTGACCATGCATATCAACGGGGGGATGGGAGGGGTCTCTCTCGGAACGGCATGCAGAGGTTTCCGGGCAAGCTGTGAAAAGTAACTTGTTCCAATGATACATAGACAACTTATTGCACAAAAAACAAAAGAAAAACGGAGTGCGCGTGCCGGAGGAGCAGAAGAAAAAAAAAAAAAAAAAAGAAAAAGGATAAAAAAAATTCTGCTGCGGGGAAGACAGCGAGAACTGCACTTGGCACGGCTCTGGTGTGCGTCGAGCGAGCGCTTGGTTCCTCCTGTACACACACCACCTTATCGCACAATCAATCGCGTTCCTTACGCGCTCACGACTCCAGACAAGACAAGCACAACCGCACCAACACCACGACTGACACCTCTGCGTTCAGCAGTCTTCGCGAGGACATCAACCTTGGTTTTTATAGGGGTCGCGGGGTTGGGTTAGGTTTAATAGGAATACGAAACCCCGCCTCCATTCTTCATCATAACAACAACGGCTACACACCTCCGCGTTAATTGTACCAACCTCTGCGCAGGATCGGATCGAACATATATCCTTAGATACATACCATAGACGACAAGGCGAGGGGCAAGGCAAGTCTGCGCTAAAAAGTAGCGGGCGGCAAAACAGACAAGACCAGCCAGGCACTACGCTACCAGAAGCGGGTGGTGAAAAACATCGAAAGACGAAAACAAAGAAAGGGAGAAAAATCCCCCAACGCGACAAGAGCTCCATATGCATGGGGAAGTCCGTCGTTTCCCGGCCCAAAAAACAAAGAGCCTTCTCCGCGTAGAAACTGGATTTGTTAAGTCACCATGTCCCCCTCCCCCCTCGCCCCCTCGCCCCCCGCACTCTACCCTGCTGCCGCAGTGTCTGTTCCTCTCTCTATACTCCTCGTTGAAACCCCAACATGAGCTACGATGGCTGCAAGCCACGACATGCGCCACCCGGCGCTGCACTCACCCCGGCGCTGTCGTACCCTCCCTCGCCCTGCCCCGCACCATCGTCCCCGTCGACGTTGTCCTCATCCTGGGAGTAGAAAGACCCTTCCTCGTCCTGACGAAAACGGGAGGAGAACACCAAGGGTAAGGGTAAGACACGTTACAAAGAGAGGGAAGTCAAGAAAAGGTACCAGCATCATGTCTAAAAAGCAAAAATTCATCAACGAGAGAAGGAAACGAAGGGGAAAAAAATAAAATAAGAGAAGGCAGCAATAGGTATATCGATATCGATACGTGGCAACGGATTCATCTCTGGCATATCCGCACCACCGTGGTCGTGGTGGTTATGCGCGCGTACTATGAAAATACTGCTGTGGAACGTGGAACACCGCTATGGCCCGGTCTCTCGGCGGATTAATTAGCTAGTCGTCGTAAAATTAGTTGCCCTTGTTTCGCCAAGACGAGAGAGACGTCGCCCATGACAGTTGTAAATTGTTCACGTTGGACAAATGTGCATCAAGGTACAAAACTCTACAATATGTAGGACTCCGCACCTCACCGAATCAACCATTGCAACGGTCCTACTCTATGCATAATACGATAACAACACGATTTCCTTGCTTTGCGGAAGATTATGCACGCAACCGACAGCGAAAATAACTTGAGACCCAACAAAAGACAAAAGAAAAAGTGGACAACACCCGACGGCAGAGGGAGACAGGGGACAAGCTGCAGGGGACACAAGAAAAGAAGAAAAGTTACACATATTGGCGCAGCAGCAGCTGCAGCGGTGCGGGTAAAGGTTTTGTTTTCACGTCCGCTTCTTGCGTGCTTGCCCCCCGCGGGGCGAACCCGTCGCGTAAAACGGGGCATTCCTGTTGAAATACCCCGTGCATGTCAACAATAAATAATCAGAGAGGAAAAATGTAAACGACGTGCATTTTGGGAGTGGGTGGCATGTACTCCATAAACGGTATTTAGTGTGTAAATCCTAGGCGACTTCTACTTCTGTGTGTTTTGTAAACATTCGCCACACCGACCGATTGTTGATCCATACATACAACCAGTAGCACAGCTACAGCAAACACCTAGGGCAAGCAGAAGCAAAAAAAGACATCGAAAACGAAAAAGGAGTGCATTGTGCATGCGGAGCAAGTCGGTACTGTACGCATCACTACCAGTACGTGACCGCCAATGGGTGTTGGCACAGCAGCAGTGTAGCAACGCACGTGTAGCCGAATACACACACACCTCCACCCAAGATCGAAATGACTCACGAATGATCATCGTGCGAGACAACACTATTAGGTACCACGGTAGCGCTTTTTCCTGCCTTGCGAGGGCAGGCGTGTTCTTTGTCGCAAAGAAAACGAACAGGTTCAACACAAACGCTTCGCGCCATATCATGAAGAATGAATGAGATGCGTGTTGTTGGAGGAGATAAATAATTGTTGTCGGGGGGCAAAGACATGCATCACGTACGGAGCAAAGTCGACGCCAACACACGCACCCCGTCTCTACGAGACACACAAACCCGGCTACAGACGCCATCAGCCGCAGCAGTGCGTCGACTACACCACTATCGCCCGCACGACAGACAGAAGTTTAAGTTTTGTACGTTCCTCGCCAACTATCGAGGGTCACCCGGCTACTTGCTCTAGATCAGCAAAGTCGCCGACGACACCATGTACAACAAATGAAACCAATACCGGCGCTAGGTAGCATACATAGTTCGAGAGTCGTTTTTCATCGTACCACCACTAGCTATTATAGTGCTCGTGTAGCGCATTAACCCTTGGGGCCAACGCTGAACGCGGTAGCAAAACGGTGGAAACATTTTTCGATATTATTTTTGTCTTCACGTTCGATGGAAATGCAACAACGAGCAAATATTGTAGTCGACAACAAAGCCTGGATCACCATTTATTTGTTGTCCGTTTTTTTTTTTCGTACATATAGAGAATAGAGTAGCGCGCATATGCGCAGGACCCTCCCTGCATGTATGGTGTGAGAGGCGGAACTGATTGCCCAAAACACGTTTATGTAGGTATCTCAGGAATTGGTCCCGTAGCGACCGGTGCCCTCAGATCAAGGGCCCAAAAAACGCCCCCGCCTGTGGCATCGATCCTGCGCCGTTGTGTGACCGTGCAATAGCACAGAAATGGAGATGTGTAGTCTTGGGAACGGTTCGAAAGACACGACTGAAAGATTAAGATTTTAACAATTATTTCGCGCTTGTGTGCTTGACAGCAGCACCAGCAGGGACAGAGAGAGCAGTTGAATTCCATGTTTCTCGGTGTACGCACAAGACAGAGCAGAGACATTACATTCCGACGGGTGCTGCAACAACAGCAGAACCCTGGCTACGCGGTGGTCTACATCATCATATCATCGCGGTACCGGAACTAAAAGAAAACGCTCCGGAGCATGCCGGGGATGTGTGTGTGCGCCGAAAGCAAGGTGAGGCAGGAATTGATCGCACGCAAAGAGTGGGATTTCTATCATCATCTCTGTATGTAGGGTCATCGATCACCAACTGCTACTGCTGTTCAATGTCCGACAGGGGAACAAGCAATTTTGTTTCCGCAAGGTCGGCGGGTGTACGTAGTGACCCCTCCATCTCGGCGACAAAAAATGCGCGCAGAACGAAACCAGCGCTAGCAGCAGCAGCAGCAGTCGCGGTTGACGTACACGGGGCGCCAACGCTTGACCGCCTTCGATGAGCAATGTCTCTCTCTCTCTGCTGTTTTTGTACAAATACCCGTGGCGCTCATCTTTGACTGACTCGGAAAAACTTCGACAACTTGTATTGCCGACGATACACTGCCTGTCATCCTCTCTCATGATTTTCGACACACAAAGGCAACAACAACAACAACAACAACACGCCGAGGATGCAACCCCCCCCCCCCATGTGCGGGCACGCTGCTCGCTACATCTCTAGAGAGAAATTTCGGCTTCTAAACTCCCGTCGACGGGTGCGCTACTGCTGTACCAGGGTGGTCTCTCACATCAGAATATGAGCGCGAAGAGTGCGAGTCGCTGTCGGATGCCTCCGGCTGCTGTTGTTGCTGCCGCCCCTCCAACCCTTGCTGCCCGCGCTCCTGCTGCTGCTGTTGCGAAGCAGGACGGCGGTTCGCCTGCTGCGCCTGGTTGCTGTCTACGCACCCGTTCACCAGATCGAAGTCCGCGCAATCGCCCAGGCACTCGAACATCTTGAGCCGCGACATGTTCGCTACCTTCCTCTGCTGCTGCTGCTCAAAAATCGAGGTTGAGCCTGGTCTGCCTCGCGTGCCCCAGTTGTACGTTCAACCGTCCCTAGGAAAGTTTTATTCTTACCACCTCAGCGCGATGGATCGACCTCGAGGGCCGAGCTAAGGGTGCCCGAGAGCGCACGGTGGGGTGTGTGGGCCCTACGACGGAGTTGGTGGTTCGATGCTGTGGCTGTTGCTGCCAGATGTTCCCTGGGGGTCGCAGCCAAAACAAGCCAGAAGTTGGTCTATCTCCACATATATTTTGGGTTCCTGTGGGTTCGGGCATGAGGGCACGCAAATGGGAATATTTGAGGTACCTCCATGATTCCGCGACCCCCACAGCACCGTCCTGGCTGCACCTGTTGGTTGTGCACCCCACCACTGCTGCACACCCCACGCGCCACCTGAGCACAACAGAGACAACGAACCAACCCACGCTCCCCTCGAAGGGGGCGGGAAGAGCCTAAACATGACGAGGGTAGATGCAGTGATGGTGTTGATGGTGGTGATCGTGGTGAGTTGTGCTATCGAGTTGTGCCATGGCCGACACGTCATGTCGACACGAGACTTCGCATCCTCGACCGAGCGACGAGCTCGCCTGCTTCGAGAACAAGAAGAAGGGAACACGTGCTGGTTGGTCGGCCAGTACTTCCTGCACGCAGTGTGCATTGAGGTATGCCCTAGTCGCGATGGCCGTCTTGCCAGTATGTCGCGACTGCTGTAGAGTTCCGCACCCCGAAATCTTTCCGACAGAAAGATATGTCTCAAAACATGACATTAGATACGACAGAGTTTACCTGCCGGTACTTTACCCTCCTCCGTATCTTTCTCCGCGGGATGATCTATGAGTTGGTAATTGTCCACGGCATCAGCACGTCGATTCTGGTCAACGAAACTCTGCTCTTGCTGCTCATACCCTACGTTTGCACCCCGTTACACGCAACCATGACATTCGAAGGCATGCATATCATGTCTACATAGTCTATACTTGTAGACCGCTGTGGGCCTACGGTCGCTCCGACAGATGAGGTGTCACCAGAAATTACTGGAAACTTGCGTGGAGGTGACCTTCACAAAGGGCCAAAATCTCTCCAATGTCCGTCGAGAACGATTCCCTCCTTTGAAATTTGGTGGAAGACAACCCTGGTTTAACTCCCGCCACTTACCTTGTTCACCTTACATACCATCGAGCCTTGTGTGCAACGGTGCAAGCACCAGCCGCAGTTTTTTGTGTCAACGCCGCTGTGAGTCTATGCACAACAGCGCCTTTTTCGGCATATGTACAGCATTTGGTGCGTGTAGGTCACGAGCTGTGCTTGTGTCTATACCCCGATGGCGTGCACTGTGTGATATGTCGTCCGTCTTCCTGTGATACTCGCTCCCGACAGAACGCCGTCGACGATACCGTCGTTCCCGCCACCGCCCAAGACCTGCGAAAAGTTCTGTATTCCGTGAGCCTTCGAACCTGGCTTCCGACCTTGCTCTGTTCGTCACCACCAACAAGAACATCGACGGGGGCGGGTGAAACTACTGCTGGCGCGGTACCTGTCGACGATGGCGAGAGAACCGGGAGGCGCCGATGCGAGGAGACGGTAGAGGCGGCGTTATCGGTGCCCGTTGGATCAGTTTCTGGGCGAATGCAATCCTCAACGACTGAATTGGAGATATTGTGAGCCCGTAGAGAAATTACAAGGTTGGGCAAACAGCGCATTTAGCTATCTTTGTACGTGCGACGGTGGCCCCTTGCCTCTATCGCGTGCCAAAGTTGAGCGAACACCACAACATGGTTGAAGGCACTGCTGTTGAGGTTGAGCGCTGGCTCAAACATGGGTTGTTTTTGGCAAGGTTGATCGCATGATTTCGTCTCCAAGGCATGGTCGGCAAAAAAGCCCCTCCGTGCGTTTGTTTTCCGCGAGCTCACCGCTTGACATGTATGCCCTGTTCCAACACCCACGCAAGTCCTTTCGCCGATGCCTAAGTGAAGCACACACGCTTCCTCTGCGCGCACGTAGCAGCGCTTCCACTTCAAACCACACGAAACGTCCTCATCCGCGTATTCCCCCCCCGCCCTCTGGCTGTCCCGTGTTCCTCGCGCACGCGTACGCAGCGCCACCATCGACGACATCCCCTGGGTGCAGACGATGGAGAAATGCCTGGATCAGATGTCCTACCACACCGACTTCCTCTTGCCGCTCGACTGTCAGGGAATGTACGTCGTGCTCGCGTCGGAGAGGGGGAAATTACAGCTCCGGCCGGCGCTTCAGGACCTCTGGCGGCAGCAGCAGCAGCAGGAGCAGCAGCAGCACGCAGCGGAGCTAGGGCGGCGAGCCGTCGCCTTTGGCGAGGTGTCTGTTTCGAAACTCTCGCCTTCCGCCGAAATCATCGCGAGCCTCCTGTCTCTGCTCGACGTCGACATCAAGAACGAGGACTCTGACAGGAGCAGCGACGGCGGAAGAAGGGCGTCGAGCGAAGAGCCGTTCGTGAAAGTGTTGGCCCCGGTGGACGCCGCAAGGGTGAACGGAGGGGCGGTGCCCTATTTCGCGGAGGTGTACCTAGGAGAGGCTCTTGAGGAACGCCTCCTTGAAGTAAGGCACGGCAGGCGGCGAGAAGATGGTGCTAGCAGCAACCCCGTTGGGGGGCACGAACCTAGTTCGGGACGCGGCAAGGAGCGGGGGCCTGGACACTCGCCGTGGCTTCCCCCTTTCCACCGGTGCGAAGTCCGTGCTGTCGTTGACGGCGTCGTCACTACTCGCATCCCGATCTACGAAGATGGCGACGGCGACGTCACAACGGCCACCGCTGACGCTTCTTCCGAAAAACAAGAAGGAGGAGGAGAGGATGATACATCGGCAGAAAACGGTGGCGGCGGCGGCAGCGACAAGAGAAAGAGAGCGGGGAAAGCCACCAGCCACACGATCAGGAGGGCCGTGATTCCCGACTACGGCACGCCCCGCTGCAGCGACCACCCTCGGGCGGCGGCGACCCTGGCGGCTACGGCGGGGGTAGCGGGGACGGCTGGAGCCAGCTGGGGTAACTACGAAGACATGTGGCTCATAGAGGCGCGCCAGGTAGACAGGGTTTGCACCAGGGAGGCCTTCGGGCCCCACCGTATGCAGGGCGAGCTGGCCTGCTGTTTTTCCGACGGCGCCCACGCCGCCGACCGTGAAACTGGCGCCGTCGAGACCTGCCAAGTCCACGCTATTTCGGCGCCGGTCGAGTACCACCACACCGGGCACCTCGCCGATGTCTTGTCCAGCTCCTGGGCCGAGCAAGAACGGGGCTTTGTCTCTGGTTCTGGTGCCGGTTCGGGTGAGCCCGGACCAAGCGGCTTGCTTTTTGACCCGCCCCCGGAGGAGATCTCGGTGTCGGTGTACGTGGAAACGGCCCCCGATGCGGCCTCGGCCGTCATGGCCGTTCCGAGATGGAGCTCGGACGGGGACGTGTGGCTGGTACGTGCTTGTCATACATTCTACCGTCGATAGTACAGATTTCGGCAAGGCTTTTTATAAACACTATAGCTACTCCGTGTCACCAATGCACTCAAGTTCGAGGTGATACCGTATTTATCCCATGGAAATTCTGGGCTTCAACATCCGTATGTGGTATACAATCATCGCCGTACCCCGAACCAGACAGACTCTTGGAAGTCGCGTGTCTCGAACGACAAGGGGTGTTCAAGAGACAACCATATGTCTTCATGATGGTGTACATAATAAACGGGTGACTATCCTAAGTGCCGCACCCTTTTTTTTATGGCCTTCGCTCTTGCTGTGAGCAAACTGAGAAGATAAATCAAACCTAGGGTATGTGGTCATCTTTCCGCAACCTGCGGTAGGTAGCTTTTGTCCGCACAAGTGAACACGAGCGAGTCTGCCAAAGGGAGTGTATGTTGGTCCCCGCCTAGATATCGGTGGTGGGGTCGCACGATGTCGATCTTTCACGGTCTGGTTGAGGGAGGTTAGAGGGAACATAGTCGTCCCAACAAACGTTTCCAATTGAGTTGTCCGAAAGCAGAGAACTGCCGGAACAACGGGGAACCACAGGTGGCAAACCGTAGGCCTACGAAGAACTGCTTGACACACACCTGTTTGATTGTGGCACTCTGAGGCTTCTAGCAGAACGCGTTGGAATAAAAACGCAACAACTCGAGGGGAAATAAGAACGTTGTTGGCGCCCCTGTCAGGTCAACTTACGACCTCCAAATACGAAGAAGTAGATACGAGCGTGTGGCTAGTGTTTCCCCCTTTCCTCGAATGAAGAGACGGGTTCGATGATGCGCGCAGATTACGCGAACACGTGACTGTTATTGTTGGCTCTTGCTGTATTGACAAAGCTCTGGCAGCTCTAGCATGCTGTCTGCTAATGATGTGCGTTCTCCTCTTGAAATAGGGTACCGACAAACGGCAGAGAGCAAAGAGAAAAAACACACGCACATACACACACGATAAACAAATGTTCCACGAAAAATAATGTCGGGATGGGGGTGGGGGTAAACAACCTCGCAACACCGTACAGCTGTCCAAACGATCAGCAACAAAGTCCCACGAAAGATGGATGCGAAAAACAAAGCAACCAACGACGAACGGCACACGCAGCAAGTGAACCACGTTCTTGTACGCCCTCTGCGTGAGTTTGGGCTCGTCCATGCCGTTGCGGAGACAAACTACACAACGATAGAGCACGAGGGGCACACAAATTCCTGGGCAAGCCGGGAAGCCGCCGACACCCGGCCTAACTTTTGTGCGCCAACGTCGACTAATACACGATTGCTAACAATGCACATGTGCACGATTACCTTTCAGGAGGCGTTTCGCACCTGTTCGGAGGCGTTCGGACCGTCACAAGGGTTTCTGATCAACGTCAACGACTGTGTGAACCTCATCACGACCGTAGTTTCGGCCAAGAGGGTGAGCTTTGTCTTGTTTAAGCGACAGCACTCGTGTGGGTTTTCGGCTTCTGGTCAACACCAACGACTGTGTGAACCGATCACGACCGTCGTTATGGCCAAGATGGTGGGTTTCTATCTTGTTTTATTTACGTTGCTGCTGTCGCTCGTGGGGGTTTTCGCTGATGCCCTTTTTGGTCGGCCCTACGCACTGTGTCGGAGGAGCTAGGCAATAATCGGAAGTTGCTGGGGTATGCCAACTTGTCAAGGGTGATTAGTGTGGAACAAAGTTCACAGGCTTTATTACTCTATCTGGGTGAATGGTGCTATGCTATGGTATGCCGTTTTCACCAGGTAGGACGGGCGGAAAGCAGGGTATCTACACCCTCGCCGAACTCCCGCAAGAGGAGGAGAGATGGCACCTCCCCTAGACCGATAATCAAAGCTCGATTGCTCCACAAACAAGATTGTTCCAACACCTTGTACAATGATGGTATTGGAAACATCTCGTCGAGGGATTTCCGTGCAATGATCGGTGTCTTTCCGCGCCCCCTTGTTTGTGCAGCAATCGGGCGTTGAAATATCGGTCTACGGGGGGTGTACTCATAGTCGTGCATGCCGTAGTCGTTAGACCCATTGACCTCGCATCCCTACAAAGTCGGGACGGAGCACGCCGGGTTCTCACCGGACCAGGCTCTCACATCACCAAGCGCGAAGCGCCGCGAGTTGCATGAAGGGTGCGCTGCATCCTGCTAAGGGTGTTCGGCATCTTGTGCTTACTTCCTTGCGTACGGACGACAGCTGCGTATGATTTAATTTATTTTCTGGTGCTTTGACTTCCAGACAGTTGTAAGCGCTGTGTAACTGCCTCGAGGATGCTTGACCATTTTAACACAACGTGGTGCGACCCCGCACAACTTGATCTACTCGACCACCATTTATGGTTACCGCCAAAAAGAACAGAGGTAAAAAAGAACCGGTAACCTAGTGGCCGAGTTCACGAAGTGACTTGGCTTGTTTTACAACGTCGTTGCCAAGCGACGAAAACCCAACCCCGATGGCAAACACCGGGGGGGGCGGTCTAGGGGGGGCTGCCATTTCTCCACCTCTTACGATAGTTCGAGCAGGTTGTTCCACTGTCAGACAGGTTTCCAGGAAGATATCAGCTTGCTCCCACACTCCTCGCAAGGATTTCAACTTTCCACTTGTTGCACACCCTTTGCTAACACTTTCGATCAGTGGGGGAACGTACTTACTTGTTGCGTGAAACACTATCAACCTTCACCCCACCTGTCTGTCCGGTTTACTACTACGTCTCATTTCCCACAAACAGCGGCCCGCCTTCCTGGTTCGTTCCATAAAATTATGCTATCTTAACAGCATTCATTTTCGTCCCGGCTCGTGGTCCCGGTTCGTTTCTTAAAACTGCTGGTATTTTCGTATGTTTCGATCCGTTTTATTGTTTTCTGCAACGCGCCCCCTCCCAAAACCAACGGCTGAATCTACGAACGCAGGCGGACCTGTTCCGCAGGCTGGCGTTGCGAATGGATGCCTACGGTATCAGCGTTCACCGCGGCGACGAAGACGTCGAGGGTCACACCGCCCGCAGTCCTGAAAAGGTACACAAAACAAAAATAGTCGTTGCCTCTCAAGCCATTTCGGCAAGTATTATGATAGAAGGAACAGTAGGCATTGTTCTCGAAACGGCGTGCCCGTTCTTTTGTCCGGCTGTGACGTACGAGAAGTAGCTTATCATCGGCTGCAGCTCCTGGATTTAGTGTTGCATGATCATGCCGAATACTATAGTACATAACAAAAAGGTTCTGACTCGCCAGGGTTCACGGCGGATCATGGTACGAATACAAAACACACACACACACACACACAGCGTGACGTATTTCATTGGTCGCGCGACTACATAGCGCGGTCGATGATGACAATAGATGATAACAACACAGCTAAGAGACGAGGGTAGAAGAAGTGGTGCAGGAGAGAGAAAGGGGGTCCGATCTACAGTAATCAGATCTTCCGCATGGAGATTTTGGCGAAAGGAAAGGCGTTGTCCCGACTTGACCAACTCCAACCTTGCGGCAACCTTCCTCCGACACACATTTGAGAGTACATGCCTCCTACAGAATGTCTCCAACACCCCGTTGTTCACTTTTTTGTGTTGTCCTCCACCCCTGGTGGATGACCGAACCGACCGGTTCTATTCGCATTTTGCCACAGGTGGAAGCTCTCGGGGCGATGCCCCGCGATGGAGGCGACCGCGTGAGAACAATCTGCGAGGTACTAAAACTCTCTGGGTTACCTAGCTAGGAGGTCGATTTCGTTTTCTTCACACTCGTTTTTGTGTCGTGTCGTTGTTACCGCTGTTGAGACGCGGCTGCAACGTCCGTCCGGAATACGTGCGTTTACGTGTGGGACAGAGACCGAGAGAAGAGAGAGAGAGAGAGAGAGAGAGAGAGAGAAAAAGAGAAAGAGAGCAGACAGTTACGTTGAATACACGTGGTTTCCGGTACCACTAACAGTCCACCCCCCCCCCC